TTTACTTTGCTAATTGAATATTCATTTATCTTCACAAATTACGTGAAGCTGTGCTGACTTTAATCATCCAATCATTTGAAAGCACTTTTTGTAAATTTTCCTTTGCCATGATTGGGCATCCTTTAGAAAGAGAATTTTCCTCATTCAATAATGTAAGTGAAAATTACCTTTCAAAGTGAAAATTGCCTTGCAAACTGAACCTGCTTTATTCTTTTAGTAAATCCAACCAACTATGAGTTAAGAATATATACTTCTAATAAACCCATACTTGAACGTCTGCTTTGAAGTAACTGTATAAATCGGGTTAAATTACTGTGAAGCCATAAATGATGAATCAATAGAAGATATGATTACTGGCAATTAAATAATTAAAGTCTGAATGGAACTGAGAGTAGCAAATGTATCTGACACTTTCAGGTGACTGAATGTGGGGGATAGCAAGGATGATCAAAGCAGCTTTTGAAAACAAAACAAAACAAAAAATACTAAAATAAAAAGGAAGGATAAGCAGGTATCTCATAAATCCTTCAAACTACCCTACTGTGGCAAATACTGGTTCTGCCCTTAGTCCCCCTGCCATTTTGCTATATGGATTTTGCTCCTTGTTGGCAAATGACAATTTTATTTGATAATGAATAAAGCAGGTAAACTCATATGCGATGTGTAAACATTACAAAGACTATTTAGCTGTATGGGGAATTTCTTCCTGAGTTTAAGCACATTTTACAAAGTTAATCAGTACTACACAATGAATGAAAATACTGGCATACCCTGAGGGTTATGTTGCTATTAAACTGTGTAATTTTCTCAATTTCCTGGTTATGCCAGCAAGAATGATTTCCCAAGGGGGTCTACTAACTCCTTGTCAACATTTCAATGTGTCCATTAGTGTTGGGAAATCTTTTCTGCTGATTTAGGATTTGCAGTGGGTAATGTCAATTAGCCTGGAGGCAGAAACCTGAACTATTTGGGATTAAATAAAATAGCTTGTTTTGTACATAAAAGTATTAATCTTGATGCAGAATATGATGTTAATAAAGCTATGTATTTAGAAAAAATGATATATTTTAGACAGAAACTATATGTATCAGTACCTGAATGTTTCTTGCTACTACACCCGGCATAACAGAACAGGCAGAGGGCCAACCAGTAGTACCAGTCAAGCATGCTGTAACACAAATGTGCTGACAATAAACTTGAGGGTAGGAGGACAGAGCAGAGTGGGTAATGAATTATCACTGTGCTATTGCCCCTTGTCAGGGTCCTCTCCACAGCAGAAGTTCTGGAAGCTCTGGCATTTCTGCCAGTACTCTGCATGGCCACAGGAGTACACATTAGCCTCATTTTGGTGCCAGATGGCCTTTATAAGGAGGCTCATCACTTCCTCAAGTTGCTGGATGATCTCTAGCTCCCCGTGGCCTGTTCCTGTTTCCTGTGATTCTGATCTGTGATTTCTTGTTACCGACTCGGCTTGCTCCTGGACCTGTCTACTCTGATTTACCCCTGATCTGACCTCGGCCTGGCTTACGGATACTCTCTCTCTCTCTGTCGCTCCTCTGTGTATGACCTCGGTTATCCCATCTGACTACGTCTGCTCTGATTCTCACCTGGTACCTGACCTTGGCTTGAACCGACTACCCAGTAAACATCTAAATCCCGGAAGCACTTACATACCATGTACAGGTGCCTCCTGTCTGCAGACCTATCTCCGTGCACCAGCTGTGCTTCTGAGTGCACCACCAACCAGCACTTCTACAGGCGACCTGTGCAACTTTGGGCCAGACTCCCGCTGTCCCACTCTCAGGGGAGTCTGGAAATTAGCCGCAAGGGAAGCCCTCTCTCCATTGGCCTCCATCACCAGTTACGTGATACCCCTTCACTATCATATCAACTGTCTAGAATGGGTTTCAAGTTGTGCTTGCAATTTCTGCTGTGGAGTTCACATGACATGGTGGGGCTATTAATCAGAAGTGTCTGTATTGCAAAATTGGCTCTTTGGATTTTCAAGTTCTTTAACAGGTAAAAGTTTTCTTACATATGTTAGCTATGTATTTAGCTACTTATTTAGTTTTAAGAGTCATTTGTTTTGGCCCCAAACTGTGCATTTGTAATGAATAGCAAGTGCTTTGTAACATGTTTTGTCTGCTGATGTTGCTCTCTTTGCAGACAAAATGCTGTTAAATAACAACCTAATAAATTACAAGAACATGTTAAAAATGCTTTTGATGTATATACAAAAGTTCTGGTATATTAATATAAAAATCAACTTGAAAACAGCAAATTTGCCAGGAAAATAAGTCATAGAGAGCAGCATTCAGACTCCAAGAATAAAAAGAATTCCTGAGATGCATAAGGATAGAAACAAAATGTGTTACAGTTATAGCCTGAACAAAGCAGCAATTTTTTATATGCCAGCACAGTGAGGGGTGAAAAAATGAGTAAAGCATAGCTAGAAGAAAGACATAGTAAAGGAGTACATAGAGGTTAAGTGCCTTCTTTTACCCTTTTTTTTGCATAACAAGATTCTGTTGCATTCTCTGTCAATGAGAACATTTTTGCTTAAATAGGTCTCACAGTGTGTAGCTAGTGAGCTGCAAAACCTGAACTTTAATTGCAACCACAGGTTTAATAACAAAAATGCATTCTTTTTATAATTATCTTTTTATTAACATTTAGTCTACTGTTTAGAATTCAATAATAGTGCTATAATTTTTCAGAAATAAGTTACATTTTACAATTTTTAAAATGAAATTGTTGAATCTATATGATGTAAGTAAAATTTGATTTTGATTTTTATAATCTTTAAGCGTGTTTTAATAATCTTGGGTGTGATTCAATAAACTTTTTTTTCCATTCAGTCTAAGGCAGCCCAATCAATGAGTTGAACAAAAAAAAACCACTCGATTCCCCCATCCACACATTCAAGGTGGTTGGAGAAATCCTCCCCTGTGCCATCGTAGACCAGTGCTGCTCGCTATAGCCAGCGGCGTTGATCAAGTGGGGAAAATCAAATAGGACAGTTGTACAGAATAGTCAACAGATCAAAACAACCACAGTGCCTATACAGTGATCAAAATTTGTCCGGTCCCTGCTGAACTGTCTGAATTTGATCCATGTGTAGACAGCATAAATTCTCATTTTAAACTGATTAATGTAAACAGCAAATCAAATAAAAAATACAAAAAAAATAAATGAAATTATACTACTGTGTGCTCAAAATCCTTAATGTAAATGTGAGCTACTAGCTTTTTTTTATTACTTTTTTTTGCTCTCTTTGTTTTGTAATATATAGACATTCATGTAGAAAAAATGATTTTTATAGAAAATGTATTAAACACATTTTTGCATCATCACATAAGAATTAGGTAAGAAAGATTTCTCTGTTCTCTCCTTTTTTTTTTAGCTCTTACAAATGCCGAGCAAGCATAAAAACAATTGATCTTAAGTAAGCCATTTTTAACCCAGGGGTTTCTAAATCTGGAATATCCTTTAAAAACAATGGAAATAATATTAAAAGGAAATTGGTCTTAAAACCAACGAGCAATGAATTTTCCTAACATGAATGATACAGCACAAGTGCTACAGATGATATTCTCTTTAGCACTGTGATATAGCCTGTAGAAACACCACTATGGACTTTTTCATTTACACCTACATGTTTATACCAACTGCCTTGTGAAATGAAGTACAGCACAACAGTTGTACAAGATTTGCTTGAGTGAAAACAACATCTTGCCTGAAGTGGTGTTTTTACATTGTTGTAAATTTAGCTTCAAGCTATTTTATGTATGCTAACCCATGTCAGACATATTTTATGCACTGTTTCAAGGTCAGTTATAAACAATCTGAACACCTTAAAATCCATGCAGCATTAAACCATTGATTATTCTGATTCAGGATCAAACTTATACTAATGTTCAGTCATCTGTGTATGTTTGTTAGATGATCTCCACAGAGAAAATGTAAAGTTCATTAAGCTCTCAAAGTCAAATGTTTTCTTAAAATTAGTAATATATCTTTTTATTTTAGCTATATATTTTTTATTCTTCTTACTGACACTTAAAAAAACTTTACTATCCAACAATACAATTTTAATTTTAATTTTGAGAGCAAATGTTCTCTTTCGTCTTAAAGGCTAACTCCATTTTTCTTACCAAATTACACATTTCACCCAAATTTAGGTGCAACATGGTTCCAAATCGCTAGTTCCTGTACCTGGCAGCATCGGTAATTTGGCTTGGCTGTACAAAGCTCTGCCTGCACAACAGTGTTATTTAGTCATACTGTAGCTATTCATGGAAGGGGGACTTGTAGTTATCAATAGAACACAAGTGCAGTGAATACTGCACTTGTAGTCCATTGACACTTCCTGCAGCCCTGTAATTGAAGGTCTGTTAGTACGGATCAGTGGCTGCAGAAAGAGTGTGAACCAGGCTGTGCATTGTAACTGTCTTACACTTATTTCCGTTGCAATGCTTTGCAGGCTCCTATGCTAAAAATAATCAATTTAAAAATTTTCCTGCAAATATGGAAGCATTAATTTATCTATTTTTTTTTTTTTAACAAAAGTTTGGACTTAACTTTTAAGACACCCACATACATTATTCCTCATTCAACAGCTGAAATTGCAGTAAAAGTGCATTGCAATGAGTGTCTATATATTTCATCAAAGGTCTTATGAGCTCTAAAAGGCTAATTCTCTAAAATTAGGTTTTATAAAATTTTTTGTGTTTTCTCTTTTTTTGTGTGGGAAGAAGCTAGAACTTGAAATATTGAAAGTCCCCCATATCAATATTTCCACACCCTGTCCCTCTTTGTTTTACCCTCTAAAACCAAGCTTTATGTATTACCAGGAACCTACAGGAAGGTATTTAAAAATATGTAAAAGGATTTTGTCATGCTAAAAAAAAAAAATTAATTTACCGTATTTTTCGCTCCATAAGACGCGCCTAGGTTTTAGAGGTGCAAAACAAGAAAAACAATATTCTGAACCAATGGACTGCAGACATAGAACAGAAAATGACCAGAGACTGCAGACACAGTACATGAGATGACCAGAGACTGCGGACACAGTACAGGAGATGACCAGAGACTGAAGACACAGTACAGGAGATGACCAGAGACTGCAGACACAGTACAGGAGATGACCAGAGACTGCGGACACAGTACAGGAGATGACCAGAGACTGCGGACACAGTACAGGAGATGACCAGAGACTGCGGACACAGTACAGGAGATGACCAGAGACTGCAGACAGTACAGGGGATGACCAGGAGACTGCAGACAGTACAGGGGATGACTAAGAGACTGCAGACAGTACAGGGGATGACCAAGAGACTGCGGACCTTTGGGGAGGGGGGCAGGTACCTGAATTTGGCAGGTACCCGCACCCACATCTGCGGAATTGTCCTCGCTTTACTGTGGGCACCCGACTGACAGCCATGTGCCCAATGCACATGCACGAGAAGCGCTGTGCTTTGTGAATGGCCCTGCATCTTCTGGGATCTGTCATGTGTCACAGCCGACACTAAAGATGCTGGCGTGGGAAGACTGTACAGTGCTGGACAGAGGAATAGGTAAGGCCTGCTGCAGAGAAGAGCTGAGTGGCCGACCCGGTATTCTGACACGGTGGCGGAGGCAACAATACCTGACCAGCCGCTCCATATTCACTCCATAAGACGCACTGACATTTTTCCCCCCTTTTTTGGGGGGAAAAAAGTGCGTCTTATGGAGCGCAAAATACAGTAGGTGTCCAGTTGTGAAAGCATTTTATTGGATAGTGATGACTCCAAATAAAGCTAGCAGTGAGCATAGCAGAAACAATTTATTATATTATATACTTGTATGCCTCTGGCGTGTGGGCATGAGAATAGTCCGATTGTAAACAGAGCCCCTGTTTTTCAGTGACTCTTGGGGGGAAGGGGGTTGCCAAAAACACAGAAACTAACATTGCATTACTATGTATAGAAATAATTAGCTACTGATCCAATTATCCTTATTTGAGCTGCACTTAATAAAGTCTATGGCCAGTACAGATGATGAGTGCTAGAAAAAAGAAAAAATGGATAGTACAATTGAAGACTCCAGTCAATGTAAAAAGTCATCTGCACTTTTTTTTTCTCGTAATTGTGAAAATTCCATGTCACAAGGTTGATATCAATGTTTGGAGCCTTGCAGGGTTGAAAAAGAAACCCTGCAGGTCCCCAAAATGTTGGCATTAACCTTGTGACATAGACTTTTCACAGTAAAATGTTAAAAAAGAATGTTTTGAAAAAAGTTGTCCATTCTCTTAATTTCCTACTGGTCCAGGCTACAGTAGCAGTGGCAATCAGTGGTACTATTTTACAGTATTTCTATAAGGATGCAGTGGCCAAATATTACATGGAAAGAGTTATCATAAGCACAGAGAGGAGCACTTGCTTCGTATTGGGTGTAAACAAACTCCTGGAACAAAAGTCTGTTCTTTTCTTTCACCTAAGACCTAAGACTTAAACCTAAGACCAACACTAGTATTTATAGCTAGTCCTCCTCCAACACATATCATACAAAGTTTAAAAAAGCTCCTGATTTCTAGAAAGTGGGTGATTTGCTGAGCCTTCCTACCTCCATTGCATCCCGATATGTTCACTAATATGATGCTAAACCAGGGGCAGACTGGCAACTCATGAAGCCCCCCGCAATAGCGGATCATGGGGCCCCTGTGTCCTTGCCCAAACTCAAAAAAGCCTATGAAAAAAGGTACCAGGGGCATCTCATGGGCCCCCTACTGACCCCGGGCCCTCGGGCAGTGCCCGAGTTGCCAAATGGTCAGTCCGCCCCTGAGCTAAACAGAACATATCTAGATTAAATATATAGTTGCATATTAATGCAATCTTGGTGCTCTAGAAAAATACACACACTGTGCAGGCCCCTGCTATCTGTTGCATTTAACTGGTTAAAAAGCTGCATGCCAGTACAGATACACTTACAAACACTTACAAAAAGGCAATTTGTTAGATGTTGCACTGAGATTTTTTCAGTCATACTTTTTTTCTTTTTTTATCAGACAGTGCACCTTTTTGTTAACATAATAATGACCTTTTAGGTTTAAATTTTCAGACTCAGCTTGCAATGGCTGTCTTTTTACAATATCCCAAGGCAAATATGGCTAAAATGAATATAAAAAGCATAAATCCAAGATATTATAGTTGACCTGTTTAAAAAAAAAACAACAGATAATTCTGTCTGTTTATCCTAGAAGACATGTTAGTTTTATTCCTAAAACTATCATAAGAAATGTAAACACAATATAATTCACTTTACTTGCTTTCATAAATTAGTTAATCATGCTCAGATTCCATAAAATGTGTCCCTGTACAGTCATTTTTTTTCAGTACTTCAGTATCAGTACTTGCCACTTCAGACTTTACAGTGCTTGCTGAGATGTCTGGAACAGAGCAGCCTACTAAGAATGACAGCACTCTCATTTCCCAGTTTTATATTCCCAAAGCTCCCATGACTTGTTATAATGTGCAGAAATATGATATCACATTATAACACATTGGAGAACATTAGTCTATCACTGTGTTGCACATGTTTTGTTCAAATATTGTATTTTTATGTTTCAAGACAGTCATATGGTTGAGTAGCTTTTTACACAGCTGATCTTCCTTTGTAAATGATCTGCTTTGAGTTTGAAAACCCAGAGAAAGTCTGGATTTTTAAGATGACCATCAAGATCAGTGAATGTTATGACCAGCATGCAAAATCTCACCATCATTTGACCAAAGCTTACACCTTAAAAAGGGACACTTTTATTGCATTTTGTTAGGCAATGGAATGGCATAATCCAGGCTCTTCAGCCATTGTCTCTACCTTTCCTCAACAGAGACGCTGGAGCCGGGGCCCAATCACGTGACCAGACTGGTCAAAATAGGTAAGTATAGACATCTATTCTTTAACATTGTAGTTAAAAGAGTCTTAGAATACATCTTGATTTCTAAATATAGCATTTATCTTCAACATTACACCAATGTTAAATGTTTTGCAACTAAGGTAAATTACATCATGGGGTAAAGGTGTCACTCCATCTAACATTGATGTTTAATTTGTTGTAAATAATGAAATATTTGGTTTTGTATGTCTTTTAAAGGATAAGTTCACCTTTGGAACATGTTACATATTCCACCCATTTTTAAACCCACACTGCTGCGTCACTCATTCACAGTGTTCTGTGAATGAGTGCCTACAAGTCCCAACAACCTTAGCGGCTGTGAGCTTGTAGTTTTCAATGAGCCATCACGCTGCTGTGGAGCACCATGGTAGTTCATTGAAGCTTCCTGTCAGTTTATTTAATTGCTCGTACAGCAAGCAGATATTCTTACAGGTCTACAGGAGATCTACATGGCATTAGTGATCTACTGATTGCTGGTGCAATGCTTTCCAGGCTCCTGCAGACAAAAATAGTAAATTAACTTTCTTTTTGCCGGCAAAAAAATTTTCATTTATTATTTTTGTCCAAAAGGTGAACTTATCCTTTAGGGACTCTGGTGGTGATATCTTTGCAACTAAATTCCCAAGTTGCATGCCCTGGCGATTGATATTGATTTCTAGAGCCTCAAAATGTATAACCCAGCAATGTTTACCAGTAGTGATGGGCCGAACACCCCCCTCTTCGGTTTGCGGTCCAACATTCAAATCTACCGAAAGTTCAACTGCGAACTTCGAACAGAGACAATTTACTGAGTGGTGTCTTACCACATCTGAGTATTCGGCAACCATTCAGCTACTAAAATAATGCATGAGTTATATTTTTAAGACATGTGGTATTTTAGTGGTGAAAGATTCTTTAATGTTTCAACTGTCAGTGGGTTCCCTGCTGTCATCCGAATGTCAAAAGAATTGTCGGCATTGCCCCACTATTAAAAATGTAAAAAAAAAAAACGGTGTGGGGTCCCTCCTCCCATCCATACCAAACCCTTCGGGTATGGTATGGATTTTGAAGGGAACCCCCATGGTAAAAAAAATGGCTTGGAGCCCCCCAAAATCCATACCAGACCCTTATCCGAGCATGTAGCCTGACAGGTCAGGAAAGGGGGGGGGACGAGCAAGTTCCTTCCCCCTCCTGAACCATACCAGGCCACAGGGGGGTTCATTGGGGTGGGGGGTCTCCCCCAAATTGCCTTGTCCCCACATTGATGGGCACAAAGGGCCTCTTCCCCACAACCCTGGCCGATGGTTGTGGGGGTCTGCGGGCAGGGAGTTTATCAGAATCTGGAAGCATCCTTTAACAAAGGGAACCCCAGATCCTGCACCCCCCCCCATGTGAATGCGTATGCGGTACATGGTACTGCTACCCATTCACAAAAAAAAGTGTAGTGTAATATATGACAGAAGACTGTCTTTTACAAGTCCTTTATTAAAAGTAAAAATTAAAAAAATGTCCCGTGAAGTACATCCAATGTCAATCACAATGCTCCCCACCACCAACGACTTGAAAAAAGGACACTGGTTCCCGCCGGCGGGATGACAGTTCTTAAATACTGTGATGATGTCACAAGTATGCACTGTGATTGGCCAAAGCATTGCACCTGACCTGCGGACAGGTGCATTCCTTTGGCCAATCATAGTGCACTGTCAGGGTGCAATGCATTTTGGGGCACAGTGGGCGAATAGCCCACAGAATGCCCTTACTGTTCATGTGTTCAGTGCACATATATAAGGTGGTATCAAGAGGCTTTGAGACTAGTTTTGTAACATGCCAACAGATGGCGGCACGAGGCTGCACACACAGTCACAGGGAGCACAGACCTTCATAAGTCAGTGTGCCAAAAGACATCATCCTGAGACATCGGGAGCTGTGCAGCTGGTGCTATTCTGACCACATGTATTCTGCATGAAACTGGGCAAATCTGCCACAAAGATGTTTGATTTGGCAAGTTTATGAAGATGCTGCAATGAGTCATTTGAGATGTTTTGAGTTGCACACATGTTTCAAGAGCAGAAGAACATCACTGGAATATCACAAGAGGTCAGGAAGACATTCAATGAGCTCAACTCCCAAAAATGCCCTCCTTCAGAAGATGAAGATCAAGCTCAAAGGTCGCCGTTTTGACAACATTGTGGAGATCCAGCGATTTGCCCAGTTTCGCACAGAATTTCACTTTTGCTCTTTGTTCTAAGTTGGTGTCCATGATGAAATGATGTAATGTAAGTGGTCAGAATAGCACCAGTTGCACAGCTCCAGATGTGCACAGGACAATGTATTTGGACACACTGACTTATGAAGGTTGGTGCTCCCTGAGACTGTGCATGCATCCATGTGTTGGTGTGTTACAAAAATAGTCTCTAAACAGTTTGATACCACCTTTTATATACATATATACTGTATATATATATCTATATATACATAGATATATATATTGTAATGAACTTATTACATAATAATTACATAATAGCCAGTAAATCTGGTGAATAAAGCGGTAGTAAAGTCTTGTTGATAAATTTAAAAAATGGTCCCCCTGCAGGTTTAAGTCATAATGTACTAGTATGCACTGC